CCCACATCTGCGTCGGTACGGCCGTCGGCGCCGACGCCGCCTGGAACGCCCCGAGTCTGGGCGCTGAGCCTAGCTCGGCTCGGTCCTCGGGGCGGCGCGCTGTGCCCTCTGACAGGGTGCGCCGGAGCGGGACTGACCCCGACCGCACCCGCCTGGTCTGCGGCGATGACCCGCGGCGAGGCGGCCGGAGATGGCGGCTTCGTGCGACGGCGTGTGAACGTGGGGCGCAACGCAGGGCCACCTGATAAACGTGAACACTTTCGTTCGAGCTTATTCAGTCGGTCAGCGCTGCAACGGGGTTTGGATTGGAACTAGCGTCTCCGGCAACCGGGCAGGCAGTGATGGACGCCCTGTAACCCCTGGCCCTGGCTGGCAGGACTCGGCCAAGGTTGACCTGTACTGCAAGATCTGCGACCTGAGCTTCACGTCCGTACAGCACGCGTCGCAACACTACGCCGGCAGGAACCACGTGCGCAAGCTGGAGGGCAAGCCGCCGCTGCGCACAGGATACTACAACAGCCGCCTGGGTCGCTGGCAGCGCCTGTGAGTCGGCTGGGCCGGCCGCCGTGCCGCTCGCGTCTGAGGGGTCAGAGTGGGCCTGTCGCCAGTGTGTGTCTGTGACCGGACCGCCGACGGACACACGCTATGGTCGGACGTGTCCGCAGTCCGCCCGTCTGCCGTCCGAGTTTCTCGGTCGACGCAGTTTTCGAGTGAGTGGTTGGAGGTGCACAGTAGTAGTAGTGGTGGTGGTTAGAACGTCGTTCGCGAGCGTGTCTGGTATCCGCGTTTGCTGTTCGTTTTTCCTCCACCAGTGTGTCTGTATCATGCATAGATCATAAAATCTGTATTTGGTGAAAAGTGAGTATGCTGTCAGGTCGTGTCTGCTGTCCAGCTGCGTCCAGTGTTGACATGCGTCCGGGTTGTGTGTGCGTCTGTGGCCGTCGGTGGCCCTGTGTGACTGAGGGGGGAGAGACCCGTTGGCGCGGTTGCGGCGCTGACCCGGCGCCGTGCCCCAGGCCGGTGGAGGAGCAGCAGAGCCGGCCGTACCCGCCGAGGCCGACCACCGCGCTCCGGCCGGCCGACGGCCCAGTCAAGTCGAGCCTGGCCGCGGCGCTCGCGGATCCGTCCGTCGTCACCGTACAGGTACCGGCCGCCGGCGCTCCGGGTCTGACCGGGCTCCAGCTAACGGTCCCGCTGATGTACAGGTACCGACCGCGGGCGTTCCGGGTCTGACCGGGCTCCAGCTAACGGTCCCGCTGACATACAGGTACCGGCCGCCGGCGCTCCGGGTCTGACCGGGCTCCAGCTAACGGTCCCGCTGACGTACAGGTACCGGCCGCCGGCGCTCCGGGTCTGACCGGGCTCCAGCTAACGGTCCCGCTGATGTACAGGTACCGACCGCGGGCGTTCCGGGTCTGACCGGGCTCCAGCTAACGGTCCCGCTGGCGTACAGGCACCGGCCGCCGGCGCTCCGGGACTGACCGGGCTCCAGCTAACGGTCCCGCTGATGTACAGGTACCGGCCGCCGGCGCTCCGGGTCTGACCGGGCTCCAGCTAACGGTCCCGCTGACGTACAGGTACCGGCCGTCGGCGCTCCGGGACTGACCGGGCTCCAGCTAACGCCCGCCCGAGATGCGCAGGTACCGGCCGCCGGCGCTCCGGGACTGACCCGACTCCAGCTAACGCCTGCCCGACGCCGCTGGGGGCGTGCACATGCTGGTGCCCCGCCTGGTGGTGTCGTCGAAGACCTGGCGCGCGTGTTTGCAGGCTGATGACCGGAAGCCGGGCAGTGGCGCAAGTCGGTGTTCGTGCGTGCGTGTCGCAGATGGGGTCGGCCGTCCGGGACCGGCGCTGGTGTCCGCCCTCCACCGATCTGGGCAGACTGACAGGGTGCGCCCGGGCTGGTGCAGCCGTTCATCCCGCCTCGCGGGTGTGTATGGACGTATCGCACGCCAGCGTGCCCGTCGCCTCTGCGCCGTTATACCATGCTCAGAGCACGTGACATGTCCCCGTTGAGCGTGCGGCGGCGGTCGTGGCCTGTGACCCGGAGATGGCTGACGTCCCGCCCCCCGTCACTGGCCGCCAGGTGGCGCCCGGTAACCTGGTGAACGCCGGGGGCAGACCGACCGTCGCAGCCGCCGCCGCCACCGCCTCCGGAGCCTCCGGTGCAGCGCCGAGCAAGTACGGTAGCGAGGCCGCGGCACGGAGCGGGTCGGCGCGGCGCACTGCTGTGGCTCATATCTGGTCTCCAGTCAGCTGTGTTTCGTGGGGTTGTGGGTCTGACTAACCTGTAGGTATTGGTCAGGCTGTGTGTCACGGGCCACGGCCAGGGTCCGACTGTGACCCGTGGGTCTGGGTCAGGTTGTGTCTCACAGGTCATGGTCGGGGTCTGACTGTGACCCGTGGGTCTGGGTCAGGTTGTGTCTCACAGGTCATGGCCGGGTCTGACTGCGACCCGTGGGTCTGAGTCAGCCTGTGTCTCACAGGCCATGGTCAGGGTTTGACTGCATCCCGTGGGTCTGGGTCAGGCTGTGTCTGACTTTTTGTCGTGGGTCTGGGGCCAGGTCAGGCTGTGTCTGACTTTGTGTCGTGGGTCTGGGGCCAGGTTGTATTTCATGGATCAGTTAGTGCCTCTAGGCCGACCCCCTGTCGTCGTTAAGATCTCCCTCCTCGTTCCCGCTCCAGCTGTGACCGCTCCCTGAACTCGGCGTCTGTCTGCCCACCACTGGGCCCCCACCATCGCCCCCCCCCCCCCCCCTGCAGCACGGGATCGGAGCTCCGTGGCCCCGACCTCGGGCACCAGAGGTCGGGGCCTCTGGCTGTTCGCCTGCTGTTGCGCAATGACACGAGGGCTTAAAAACGCTCTGTTACCGACTGTTATGGCAATAGTTTGGTCCGTTGAAATCCAATGGTTTTACATTGCCCTGGCGGCGAGGCGGCGAAGACGTGCTGTACAGCTAACTCTGCCTGTCGGCTGGTGGGTGCCCAGGTTCTTCTGCCACATCTGTAACGTGTCGGCCACGTGCCAGCTCCAGCTGGACACCCACATCAACGGCAGCAAGCACAAGCTGCAGGCCAGGAAGCTGGGCCTGCCGCTGCCGGAGCCGCCTCCAGTCGGTGAGTGGCGTGGCCACACCGAGGCGGCGGGCTGGGCCAGACCGCGGGTCCCGTGTCCTGGCGCTGCCGGCCGTCCTGTGCTCGGTGAAACGGGATTTGTCTGCCGACGGTCCACGCTGTCTGCTACAAATGCGGGGCTGGACCGATGTCAGCGTGGGTTCTCCTTGATGCCGGAGGTGGACTTGAACAGGAGTCTTGTAGAGTGGACTTGATGAAGCTCGCATGTCACGTGATCCTTTGGTGCAACGCCGCCTGGTGTGTATTTGGTAAAGCTCGATTACTGCAATGCCACGACCCTAAGCCAGTGTCACTGCTGCACCTGGAGCCGGACGCAGTGTGTGCGCGCGGACGGTCAGTGGGGCGTGGCGCCGCTGCCGAGTGAGCCGCGCTGTGAGGCTGACTCCCGGCGGCGCCCGGTCCCGCCAGAGCCAACTGCGGCCGGGGAGCAGGCGGCGCAGGACGAGACGACGTCCGCCACCGAGCCGCCGGCCAAACGCCCCCACAAGGACTTCTCCATCTACAAGACGCCCTCCGGTCAGCGAGCGGAAGGGGGAGAAGGAGAGAGAGGGGGAGGGGGCGATGGTCGCATGCCGTTACTGACCACCGCACAGACAGTGTTCACCATGTCCTTGTCCATTTGCCTTGTTTGGCTCGCACGCGGTCTGATAACCTTTCCTGAACAAAACTTCCACCTGAACATTTCCGAATGTGTACGCATCGTGAGAGGTGCAGTGTCATCCGCAGGACTGTGTTCGTGCTCTGGCCCATAAAAACAATACAGTCATAAGCCTAAACCGTCACAATGGTCTACCCATTTTTTTTCTAACGGCTGCTCGGGGATGGTATGTGGCACGGAATAGTCCATGTACTTGGCTGATGACATTCATATGTACGTGTCTTCAGTATTTGTGCCCCGCTGACGCCGTTCCTCGGTCACCTCAGGGAAATTCTACTGCCTGCCCTGCAATCTGACCATGAACTCGGAGACCCAGTTCGCGCAGCACTTCGAGAGCAAAAAGCATAAGTCCGAGGTGGCTAAGCAGCGCAGCACCGTCCGCTCCGCCTACTAACGGGCCGCGCCGCCGCCAGGGTGAGTGAGGGGCCGCGGAGAGGGGGGGGGGGGCCGCCTGGGGATCCGAGGGAGCACGTGGAAGGAGGGGTCACCCCGGGGGATTCGAGGGAGCACGTGGAAGGAGGGGTCACCCCTGGGGATTCGAGGGAGCACGTGGAAGGAGGGGTCACCCCTGGGGATCCGAGGGAGCACGTGGAAGGAGGGATCACCCCTGGGGATTCGATGGAGCACGTGGAAGGAGGGGTCACCCCTGGGGATCCGAGGGAGCACGTGGAAGGGGGGTCACCCTTGGGGATTCGAGGGAGCACGTGGAAGGAGGGTCACCCTGGGGATCCGAGGGAGCACGTGGAAGGAGGGGTCACCCCTGGGGATCCGAGGGAGCACGTGGAAGGAGGGGTCACCCCTGGGGATCCGAGGGAGCACGTGGAAGGAGGGGTCACCCTTGGGGATCCGAGGGAGCACGTGGAAGGAGGGATCACCCCTGGGGATCCGAGGGAGCACGTGGAAGGAGGGGTCACCCCTGGGATTCGAGGCACGTGGAAGGGGGTCACCCTTGGGGATTCGAGGGAGCACGTGGAAGGAGGGGTCACCCCTGGGGATTCGAGGGAGCACGTGGAAGGGGGGTCACCCTTGGGGATCCGAGGGAGCACGTGGAAGGAGGGGTCACCCCTGGGGATTCGAGGGAGCACGTGGAAGGGGGGTCACCCTTGGGGATTCGAGGGAGCACGTGGAAGGCGGGAGCAGTTTGGGCTCGGAGCAGCCGCTTGTGTCGCTCGGGTGTTTCGAGCTGAGAATGTTCTGATCGCCATTTCGATGTTGGGGTAGCTTCCTGCTCTGCTTGCGTCAGTGTTCGCCTCTGCCTCAGCGCGGCCCGTTGTTGGCCATGCTTTTGGCCGAATGGAGACGCTTGTCCCAGCGTTTGGCTGTGGGGAAGAGATGTGAGCCCACGTCACCCACGTCACCAGAAGTCATTGTCGTTTTCGGGTCAAACGAAGCGCAAAGCAGACTTTCAGTTTGGTATTCACTCGTTCAAAGGCTGTCAGTGGGTCAGAAATGTTGGCGGAAAATGTTCAGCGGTGTGCCTACGTCCGGGTCAATGACTTCAATCATGTGCACTTGGTGCCTCTCGGAAAAATCCCGTGAGTACGTCTGCATCATATGACGGGGGATCAGAGCGTCCGTTCTTTGTTGCAGCGGTCTCGGCCTAATCAAGACTGGTGCTTGTCGCCTCTCGACGAGGCCGTTCCAACCCACGCCCGCCGCGGGCCTGAGCGCTCCGCGCAGGGGCGGCGGTGTTGGAGCGGCGAGGGCCACGCAGTGTGTGCCGACTCGCCGCGGGCCAATCAGGGTGGTGGCATTGCGCGCGAGCGACGGATTGACCAATCGGAGATCAAGGCCCAGTTGGCGATCCAGTCGGAGTGGTGAAAAACGGCGTTCCGACCATCACACGCTGCCAGATGAGGCCCGGCAGTATTGCTCAGCTGGTGCGTAGTCTGCCGTCTACGCACGCAGGACTTGCAGGGCTGTCGCGTTGAAATGAATCAAAAGATAATTCGTGCACGTGTCGGTGAGGCCTCCCGGCGTCAGGACGTGGCGGCCGAGACGTGATATGTGCAGCTTTTAATGAGTAGCGAGCAGTTCCTATCTGGTCAAGATACACGCGCTTCTGTTGCTGTGTCGCTGATGTTTTCAGGGCAAGGTGTGGATGTCTTTCTTCGTCAGGGTTCGGGACCGACTTTGAGCTTATGGCAATTTGTTAGGCTGTTACTCGTTCATTTCTGCATGTTTCTGCTGATGTTGGTGATATTGGTGAGCAGATGTTAGTTTCTTGTCGCTGAGCTCAGATTTATTTGCGGAATGCATTAATGTCCATAGGTACGTGTGGACCAGCCCACACGGTTGGCGCCGTGCACTGTTGGCTCAGCGCACAGGTGCGCTGTGTTGGTGTGTGGACGAGGGTGTGGCCGATTGTGAGGACGTGTACCTCGGGCTGTAAGATGTGGAGCTCGGTTCTCGGCTGCTGGATTGGGCGAGACAGTGTCAGCCCAGAACCCTGAGACGAGCTCCACTCAGGACTCGAGTCTCAGCCATTACCTACCGTAGCGTTCAGCCGAGCGGCGGCTGCTGTGGTGCACGCACGACGCTCCTCGCCGAGCAGTCCCGGGGGTAGGCCGGCCGCCGGGCGCTGCTCAGAGTCCACCCAATCAGAGACGCCTCACGGCTGTGTGGTGGTCAGCTGGGGGGGGGGGGGGGGGGGCACGCCGTCCGAGGGCCGCGGCGCCAGCACCTGCACCGGTGTCTGTCAGGAGCCGACGTGACCGCCCGCACCCCGCACGCTCGCACGCACAGTCGTACACGCGCGCGATGCGTGGCTCGCGCTCAAGTCGCGGCCGGCCGCCGGTCGGGCTCTGTCCAGAGGCTGACCGTGAGCACATCTCGTGGACGAGGCGGCCGCCGATGAAGAGAGTGTGAGCGTGTGATCAGCCGCCGGTGCAGAGAGTGTGAGCGTGCGATCGGCCGCTGGTGTGGGGGTATGAACGTGTGATCAGCCGCCAGTGCAGAGGGTGTGAGCGTGTGGTGGGCCACCGGTGTGGGGTATGGGCGGTGTGATCGGCCGCCGGTGTGGGATATGAGCGTGTGATCAGCCACTGTGTGGAGCGTATGAGCGTGTGATCGGCCGCCGGTGCAGAGAGTGTGAGCGTGTGGTCGGCCGCCGGTGCAGAGAGTGTGAGCGTGTGGTGGACACCGGTGTGGAGTATGAGCGTGTGATCGGCCGCCGGTGCAGGGAGTGTGAGCGTGTGATCGGCCGCCGGTGCGGAGAGTGTGAGCGTGTGGTCGGCCGCCGGTGCGGAGAGTGTGAGCGTGTGGCCGGCCGCCGGTGCGGAGAGATTGGGCGTGTAATGGGCCGCCGGTGTAGGCAATCCCTGTCCGCTGTGGTGTTGTACCACCCGTGGTCTGTGTATCGATGTAGCGACACGAGCTCATGTCTGTCAAGAGGCCGGCCCCAGGGTGAGGCCGGTTGACACGTGCGGGCACGGGTCCGGTAGGGCCCCTACCGCATACACTGTTGGATGGACAGTGGACACGAACCGCCGGCTTGTCGGCTCGAGCTGTGACTGACGGTGGGTGCCCGTTGGGCCCCGGAGGGAGGGGGGGGGGGGGGGGGGCGGAGGGCGCTACACCTGCCCCAGCCGTTATCCGATTTTCACGGTACTGAGGCGGATGGGTGTGTGTGGGGCGGGCGGACGTCACGTGACTCTGCATCCGAGTACAGGTCTTTCTAGCCGGCCGGCGGTGGCGGCGAGGCACGAGCCCGCACGCGCCGCGCTGTGCACCGCCGTCGTCGGTCGGCCAGCTCACTGGTGCACCTGGGCGCCGTCAGTCGCAATACACGTGAGTGACAGCTGGCGGTCGGGCTGGCTGCGCGACAACCGGATGTGAGCGGACGTGGGCGGACGTGGGCCTGTCTGTGTGAGCTGCTGTCTGGCGCGGCGAGGCCTGGCGCGGCGAAGCTGCAGCACAGTCACGTGCTGACAACGGATTCCAGTTTCAGTTGGACCTTGAGTTCATGGATCAGGTTATTGCCACTTTTGCCCTGCGCAGCAACGTAACAGCAAAATTATGTGCGCTTTGATACAAGCCAGCTGTCCTTTGCATCCCCGATTGTTGAAAGGTCTTGTGGTCGGATCCCTCATTCTGCAATTGCGCAGGGGTGATGCACGCAGTCACCGGTTTTTGGCATTTCGCTCCACATGAGCTTAACTTTAAGATAAGGCGGTGCAACTTAACTTTAAGATCTGGCATTCGTATTGGGATTCCAATGCACAATTAAGATCAGTTGCAATTTTCAAATTTAAATGTCATGACATTACGTAGGTTTTTAGTGCATTTGCGAGGAACATGCGCATAGATAAAGCAGTAGTATAGATAAGACAGTGGTGATAGCATCATTCCTCGGGGGAAAAACCAGGAGAATGGAGCTATAGTAAAAAGCTATTACTACTGCGTTACCCACGTTATGACGTTTTGTTCATTGACGGATGATGTGACCATTGCACGAGGGTTACTTGTCCCGTGTCAGTTGTTAAGTGTCTGCGAAAGATGCACACAAACGCAACACGTTCAAAGGCGTGCATTCATGACAATCTAAGCCACTTGTCGAAAAGTCAATTGACACTGAACAGCAGTGCGGCACGGCATACGCAGTGTTCTTGACACGTCCAGTATGTGACGCTTCAGTCTCCAGACATCGGCACGGACAGGCCGGCGAAGTCTGGTGAGGGCGTGTTGTGAGAAAGGCGGCGTAAAAGACAAACTCACTTTCGCCAGCCTCAAGACCACGAGTAGGTCACCGGCCGAGCACGTGGTCCTAACAGATGCTGCTCACAAGATCTTGTCGTTCGCTGCCGGCGCAGCACAGCGTGGCGTATTTGTTGAGCGGGTCGGAATCCGGTGGTCGAACGTGCCCTGAGGAGTCAGCGTACCCGGGCACCTCGCACGGCGAGAGCTGCTCAAATGTCTGCATTCCAGATATGAAACGTGTAGCAGTGTATTATGTCTGAAAGACTGCCATGTGTTGACCGAACAGTCGCCATTCACGGCTAGGCAGCAACGAACGCGTGGCAGAAGACGGATGCGGGAGGGACGGCCTGGAATACCGCAACGTTTTTTCTGCAGCTCTGATAGCAATAGCTCGCCGCTGCATTCACAGACGCCGGAGGCATAGTGATTCGAGTAACGGATCAGTACAACGCGGGTGGGTATGCAAACGATGCCCAGCAAAGGACTGTGAAAACAAAGCTAATGTGACCGTGCCTGTTACTAGACTGGTCGGCA